ATGTTGTTGGTGGTGATGATGATGATGGTGATGATGAGAAGGAGGAGGAGGAGGAGGAGGGTGGAAGAAGGTGGAGGAGGAGGAGGAACAGGAGCAGGAGCAGGAGCAGGATGAGTTGCGGCGAGGGGTTCGAACAAGTTGTAAAGTCAGCTTTCGTGCTTCCATTTCAGGGTTCAAACATATTCGGGTTTCAGAAATCTGTTCATTGGCCAGGACATGTTGACAGGTTGATTGGTCGTGAGGCAGAACGGTTGGTTGTTTGCAAGATGTGTTGGTTGATTCGGTGGCTCGTTGGCCGGTTATGTTGTTGATTGATTGGTTGTTTGGTTGGTCTTTTTGTTTATTGGTTTTATCCGCCACGTGGCGGCGCAAGGAAGCGAAACACACACACATACACACATCTACGCTACACGTCACGTGGCAACGCAGTAGCGGAAAACATATTGTTTCATCATACCCGTCACGCGGCAAAAGCCGGTTGGCATGACAAGTTTTACCACATTGTGCCCGCCTCGGAGCAACGCAAGGCCTCTCAACAAGTACAAATATACGTTGGTCGTCACGCGCCAACGCAAGGGGCGAACCATCTCTGCAATTCGAGTCGCAGCGAAGATGGACGAGGCAATACTACTCTAGTTGGTTCGTCACGTAGCATTTCAGGGTGGTGTGGACAACCGTTTCTACTTGGCTCGCCACTAGGCAACGCAGGGGGGGTAAACAAAACACGACTCAATAGTTCTCGTCTCGTGGCAATGCAGGTGGGCGAAATTTAACGTTGGAAGACATCTCAGCAATCTGCGGGTGCGAGGACCGCAAAAAGATGGTACGAAAGAGGGGCAGTCCCATATGGAGCTACGAATCGTGTGATGGGTTTGCCGAAACGGGCGAGGTGGCGCCGTGCGAACCCTGGCACTGGGGCCCTCGGTTGAGCTCTCCCTGTGGCCACGAAGCGTGTGATGCATTTGTCCAAATGGGCGGGGTGGTCCCATGTTAACCCTGCCTTTGCGGCCTTCGGTGTTGCTCCCTACGGGGCCACGAAGTGTGTGAGGGGGATACTGGGATTGGTGCCGTGGTCCCATGCGAACCTTGCCACTGGGGCGGTCGGTGGAGCTCCTTTGGGGGCGACGAAGCGTGCGAGGGGTGTGCCGACATGAATGCGGTGGCGCCGTGCGAACCCTGACTGACTGCTACTGGGGCATTCGGTGGGGCTCCCTATTGGGTCACGAAGCGTGAGAGGGGTGTGCCGCCGTGGCGCCATGCGAACCTTGCCAGGGTGGGGCCCCCTGTGGTGTCACGAAACGCGTGAGGGATGTTCTGAAATGGGCGCGGTGGGGGCATGCGAACCCTCCCATTGGGGCCTTCGGTGGAGCTCCCTATGGGGCAACGAAGCGTATGAGGTGTGTGCCGAAATGGGCACGGTGGCGCCATTGAGGCTTTTGGTGGGGCTCCCGATTGGGGCTCGAAACATGTGAGGGAGCCATGCGAACCCTCCCACTGGGGCTTTCGGTGGGGCTCCCCATGGGGTGACGAAACGCGTGAAATGTGCGCAGCAATGTGAGAAGGGAGGAGGAGCGGGAGTGACGCGGGGCGCCGTCTTGTTCAAAACGATGGCCCATCACCACATGACGGTATAGGAAACACGTTTCACTGCAGCCGCCACATAGCAGCATAGAGGTGCGACAACCAACACAAATCTACGCTACACATCACGTGACAACGCACATAGGCTGCACACATACGATTGGATTCCGGTTCGGAACGTGGCAATGCAAGGGGATGGAGACGTGCGACTCCATTTTGGGACGCCAGTCCGTCACGTGGCAACGTAGAAGGCGGGAGGGGGGGCAAAACAAAGCAGTTCAAATATTTTCGCAACGTAGCAATCCAGGAGGGCGAAGCCGAGTATCCCACTTCTTCGTCGCGTGGAACCACAACGCGATCGAGAACATACTATCCTATTCGATTCGTCAGGTGGCAATGCAGGGGGGGAGACAAACAGCCATTCTGCTCGCCATGTGGCAACCCAGAGGGACGAAACATATGCATATGTGTTCAATCCGGCACATGGCAACGCAGGAGGGGGGGCGGACACCATATTAATGCATCTTAGGGCGAAGGATTACAAGGTCATGTTGCGCACCGCGTGACAACGCACGGGAGCGACACACACACACACACATGCATGCATACGAGCAAGCAAGCATGCATGCATGCATGCATAGATACGAAAGAGCGTGGCGAAAAACCGGGGGGGCTCACTACCGGTTCGAACCCCTCCCCCCCCCCCCCCTCCGGAAAACCGGGGGGGGTCATTACCGGTTCGAACCCCTCCCCCCCCCCCCCCAGCTCATCATGAAAAGGGGGGGGGTCACTACCGGTTCGAACCCCCCCCCCCTCGAAAACCGAGTGGGGGTGCGGACAGTGGTGGGGACGGTGTTGGTGGGGACAGTGGTGAGGGGACAGCGGGACAGTGGTGGGGACAGTGGGGGGACAGTGGGACAGTGGTGGGGACGGTAGTGGTGGGGACAGTGGTGGGGACAATGGTGGGAACAGGGGGGACAGTGGACAGTGGTGGGAACGGTGGTGGTGGGGACAGTGGTGTGGGGACAGTGGGAATGAGGTGGAAACACTGGGACAGTGGAGGGTACAATGGTGGTGGGGACACTGGTAAAGGCGGTGGCGAGGACGGCGGTGGGACAATGGGACAGAGGTACAGTGGGGACAGTGGTGGGGACAGTGGGGACAGTGGTGGAAACAGTGGGACAGCTCAGTGGGACAGCGGAGGAGTCAGTGGGACAGTGGGGACAGTGGGGATAGGCAGTGGTTGGGTCCGTGGAGACAGTGGGGAGAGTGGAACCGTGGTGGGAACAGTTGTGGGAACAGTGGGGACAGTGCGACAGTGGTGGGGGCATTGGTGGGGACAATAGGGACGGTGGTGGAACCAGTGGGGGCAGTGGTGGTGAGGATAGTGGTGCTGGGAACAACAGTGGGGGATGTGATGCGAGCGGTGGTAGGGACCGGGAGTCGTTTGCTGGCGGTGCGTGGGGGGGGGGGGTCGAACCGGTAGTGACCCCCCTCCGGTTTTCGGGGGGGGGGGGTCCAACCGGTAGTGACCCCCCCGGTTTTCCGGATCCGGAGGGGGGGGGGGGAGGGGGGAGGGGTTCGAACCGGTAGTGACCCCCCCCCGGTTTTCGAGGGGGAGGGGGAGGGGGGGGAGGGGTTAGGGGAGGGGGGGGTTTTGCCGGGAGGGAGGGGGGGGGGGGGGGAGGGGTTCCGGCAGGGGAGGGGGGGATTCGGAGGGGGGGGGGGAGACCCCCGGGTTCCGGAGGAAAAGGTGGGCAATTTTCCACAGTAAAGCGGCGGTGGATGACGCTCTCTCATAGATACATACATCTATATTTGTACCTATCTTCCGACCTACCTACCTACCTACATACATTCACATGCATGCATGCATACATCAATAGGTACCTACATGCGTGCACGCATACATACATGCATGCACAATTTCACGCATCGAAGCATACACAGATGCACAATTGCATGCATGCATGCATACATACATTCATACACACTGGCCTTGCCGACCTACCTTCCTATCCACCTACATGCATACATACGGACACCCATACGTACATACATACATACATACATACATACATACATACATACATACATACATACATACATATCAGAGGGTTCGTGGCCCCATAGGGAGCTCCACCGAAGGCCCCAGTGGCAGCGTTCGCATGCAGTTCCACCCTCATTTCGGCGCACCCCTCACAGGGTTCGTGGCCCCATGGGGAGCTCCATCGAAGGCCCCAGTGGCAGCGTTCGCATGCAGTTCCACCAGTATTTCGGCGCACCCCTCACAGGGTTCGTGGCCCCATAGGGAGCTCCACCGAAGGCCCTAGTGGCAGCGTTCGCATGCCTTCATTTCGGCGCACCCCTCGCAGGGTTCGTGGCCCCATACGGAGCTTCACCGAAGGCCCCAGTGCAGCGTTCGCATGCAGTTCCACCCTCATGTCGGCGCACACCTCACAGGGTTCGTGGCCCCATAGGAAGCTCCACCGAAGGCCCCAGTGGCAGCGTTCGCATGCAGTTCCACCCTTATTTCGGCGCACCCCTCACAGGGTCCGTGGCCCCATAGGGAGCTCCACCGAAGGCCCCACTGGCAGCGTCCGCATGCAGTTCCACCTTCATTTCGGCGCACCCCTCACAGGGTCCGTGGCCCCATAGGGAGCTCCATCGAAGACCTCAGTGGCAGCGTTCGCATGCAGTTCCACCCATTTCGGCGCATTCACAGGGTTCGTGCGCACCCCCCCAGTGGCAGCAGCAGGGCGCACCCCTCACAGGGTTCGTGGCCCCATGGGGAGCTCCACCGAAGGCCCCAGTGGCAGCGTTCGCATGCAGTTCCACCCTCATGTCGGCGCACACCTCACAGGCTTCGTGGCCCCATAGGAAGCTCCACCGAAGGCCCCAGTGGCAGCGTTCGCATGCAGTTCCACCCTTATTTCGGCGCACCCCTCACAGGGTCCGTGGCCCCATAGGGAGCTCCATCGAAGGCCCCAGTGGCAGCGTTCGCATGCAGTTCCACCTTCATTTCGGCGCACCCCTCAGAGGGTTCGTGGCCTCATAGGGAGCTCCACCGAAGGCCCCAGTGGCAGCGTTCGCATACAGTTCCACCCTCATGTCGGCGCACCCCTCACAGGGTTCGTTGCCCCACAGGGAGCTCCACCGAAGACGGTACCCACAAGTGCGGCACTCACAGTTGCATATGGTTGGGTCTATCGCCAGGCTATTTTCTATTTTGGTTTCCATGTGTTGTCCGGATCAGGTCCGTTGTTCCAGCTTTTCACGAACAAGAGATAATGTTGTTCTTGCCCGTGTGTTCCAGCGGTCCACACCTAATCATGCGCAGACCAAGTGAGGCGGAGGAGGAAGGTAAATACGATGAGGAGGCGTCCTCAGCTCGCGCATCCCACGCCCTCCCCAGCGAGGTGCTGAATCATCTGAAAGGCCAGCTGCCAGCTCTTCCGTAGGCCTCCTTGCGCGAACCGATTGCCCAGCCTAACGCTGGCCGAGACCCGCGATGAGTCTCTGCGGCATGCGGCATGGAGCAAGTCAAGGGTGCCCCGCTGCTTGCATGACAGCAGAGCTGGTGTAGCCGTCGCTCGCTGCCGCTGTCATCGTTCTCACCATGTTGGAGTTTCTGGGCTGCTCCCGTCAGAGAGGTCCTATTCTGGAGTTGCCCCGGGCTGCAGGCGGGTGCCCGGGGGGCAGTGTCGCTGTCGGAATGGTTCCCACCCGAGAGGGACTGGCGCCTCGAGGCGCTCTCCAGGCTGTGAGAGAGGGCCCCTGCCCGTCTGGCCTCGGGGGGCTCCTCACAGGTCTGTGTTCGGAGATGGCCAGATCCGAGGTGGTCCAGCCCGTTTGGCCCGAGGCCTCTTCGCGACTCTGAGTTGCCAGATGCCGTCAGAGGTGGTCTGGCCAAGCTCACCTGAGATGCCGGATGCCGTCAGGGGTGGTCGGGCCAAGTTCACCTGAGACGTCCTCGCAGTTCCAGGACTGGAGACGCAGTGACCTGAGACATCCTCGCAACTCTGGGCTCAGAGATGTCGGGGGGCGCTGTGCGACACATGGATGTTGTCAGAGTGAGAGGGCCGAGCAAACTTACACCTGTCCTGGTTGCGTGGCTGAAGTGAGATTTCGCGGCGCAGATTCCTCTTGAATTTCCAGTTCTAAAGAATAATGTTTGCTGATCCCTCCCCTTCGGTGCCCACTGTGTTTTTAAAATTGAAGTGCTTTTCCCGGAGCTCGCACCCTGTTTCGTACAAGGAAAAGTCCTAAGCCTCAGATTGTGCCCCTGGCCCCCGGTTTAGCCACAAACCAGGGGGGGTCTTCGGGCTGTTCTTCTGGCCCGAAGGACCCTCTCCAAACGGTGGACACCACTGTGCACACTGTAGCCCGAAGAACCCCCCCCCCCGCGCCAGAGCTCCCACCACGAGCGGTCATTTTCTGTTCTGGGTGCACCAACAAGGCGCCACAAATCAGGGGGGGTCTTCGGGCTGTTCCTCTGGCCCGAAGGACTCCCCAAACGGTGGACACTGCTGTGCACACTGTGGCCTATGTAGGCGCCCTTGTCGGTTGTCGGTTGCTTGCGTCCTCAAGGCGCCACGCACCACTATGGCAACCTCAGGGTAACAATCGGTTCGTCTTCTGCTCTTCGTTTTCTTCGCTGGTCTTTGTCTGAGCACACAGTCTCCGATGAGCACCTCCCTTGAGCTCGCTGTGGTCTCGCCACCGGGGCGACACAGGCCAAGGGGGGTCATTCGGGCTGGCCCCAAGACAAAAACAACCCCCCAATGGGGCTCCGCCACCCCATGCACATACAATATGGTGACAACTTGCTCACATGGCGCCACAACCGTTGGCCCGTAGTACCCCCTTTGAAAGGTCGCCTGGGCGGTCGGCTCTGTACTGGGTACGCCACCGCGGCGCCACAAACCAGGTGGTTTGTTCGGGCTGCTCCATTGGCCCGAAGACCCCCCCCAGCACCGGGGCTATCACTACGGTCGTTTTCCTTTGTGGGTGCGCCAACAAGGCGCCGCAAATCAGGGGGGGTGTTCGGGCTGTTCCTTTGGCCCGAAGGACCCCCCCAAACCGGTGTCCACCACCATGCGCACTGTAGCCTACGTAGGCGCCCTTGTCGGTTGTCGGTTGCGCCATCAAGGTGCTGTACACCACCTCGGCAACCGTGGCTCACGACGGCCCCGCTGTCGGATGATTAAGGTCACGGGGGTTGTTCGGGCTGTTCCCTTAGCCTTCACCCCCCCCCCGTCAATGCAGCCACTACCACGCGGGCGGACGTTCTGTGTTCAGGGTGCGCCCACAAGGCGCCACAGACCAGAAGGGGTGTTTCGGGCTGGCCCCTTAGTCCCCAGGACCCCCCAAAACGGAGTCCAACACCATGTTCACTGCAGCCTGCGCAGGCGCCCCCGTTTGCTGTGGGTTGCGCCATCAAGGTTCCACGCGCCACCAGGGAAGCTTTGTCTCCTGACGGCCCCGCCGTTGAATGCTTAAGAGCGTCGTCAAGGAACCGCCACTCAGGTGGTTTGTTCGGGCTGTTCCCTTGGCCCGGAGAACCCCCCCCCGCGCCAGAGCTCCCACCACGAGCGGTCATTTTCTGTTCTGGGTGCACCAACAAGGCGCCACAAATCAGGGGGGGTCTTCGGGCTGTTCCTCTGGCCCGAAGGACTCTCCCCAAACGGTGGACACTGCTGTGCACACTGTGGCCTATGTAGGCGCCCTTGTCGGTTGTCGGTTGCTTGCGTCTTCAAGGCGCCACGCACCACCACGGCAATCTCAGGGTAACGATTGGTTCGTCTTCTGCACTTCGTTTTCTTCGCTGGTCTTTGTCAGGCACCCGCGCATCATTGGTTTACCTTTCTGGGGATCGGGTCCTTACCTGTCGGCTGGACAACACCCTAACTCGAAAGTTGGACCGGCTTAGCACATCTTCTGTAATTGTCGCACGGTTGCGACCCTAATCGCCGACGCTGGGGTCGATGGGGGGCCAGGTGGTGCTTGCCCTCGCTTGGCTGGTTACGGCTTGCGGGGCGGGGGCCACATTGCTCACGGGTCGCGGGCGGTCTTGGGGAGACGGTGGGGGGCAACAAAAGGGCCACAGTTTCTTGCAACGCCCCTGGGGGGTAATCCGTGGCACCTTCAAGCCCCAAGTTCCGCCCTCGCTGGAGGCCCGCTCCCGGCCGAAGCGGCAACTTCAGCAGCTGCTCCAGCGAACCCAGAAAGGGCATGCGTGGGCTTGGCGTCGCACCCGCTGGGCGTGTCAGCGCTTGCGCTTTGTCACGAGCGACCGTAAGCCCTCGCCAAACGTGTCGCCGTGCCGCGGGTACATTGCAGCCCTGTCCGCTCCGGTCGCCAACCCAAGGGGGCACATATTGCACGTAGCGAACAATTCCCACGGCGTTCTGTTTATATGCGGCAAGTGCGGCGCCTACTCTGAAATTGGCGCTTTGCGTTCTTGGGGTAAAGAATGCCCGCCAGGACGCGGTTTCCCTTCCAATGGCGCAAAGCTTTCTTGGGACAGGTTTGCCAGAGGTCAACACCCCAACTCGAAAGTTGGCCCGGCCTTTTGCCTTGACGAGCGTCTCCCCGCTCTGGCCTCTTTTCGCCTTGATGCTCACTGGGTCGTTTGCGGTCTGTGGAAAAAAAGTTTCGTCCCATCCTGCAGCTGTTTGCGCAATCTGCGGATCGGTTCACCTCGCGGGGCTGGTGGCCCATGCCGACCGAGGTCCCCGCAGAGATGTTTGGTAGCATGTACGCGTGTGGGTACGCTGCTCTCACGCCAGCCCCATGGGGGGTATTCCGCCTTCCCCGGAGGCCCGCTGCAGCCTCCCAGTGACCGCGTTTTTGCTTGTTTTTTTTTTTCTCTCTCTCTCTCTCTCTTTCTCTCTCTCTCTGGAGGGGATGAGAGGAAGTAGGAGGAGGGGGCTTTGGACACCGTACTCGCAAGTACATGTGAGGAACGCGTGCGGGCACGTAAGTGTCCGCCGGACATTTCGGCGTGCTGACCACACCAGGGGGCTTATCAACCAGAGCGTGGAGCACGCATGTTCCGCATTGTGAGGGGCGCGTTCGCATGCGACCCCGGCCTTTCCCCATGCGAGCACTTATCGCACCACACAAATTCAGGATTTTAAGGATGAGACGTCCAAGCGGTCGTGGATCACCGAACTCTGCGGGTCGCCCCATCCTTACAGATGGGCTCAGGCGCCCTGAAGCCTGTAGCGTACTTGGCGGTCCTCTCCTCAGGGATTATCTGGGAATCGCCCTGTCGCCTGAGACCTCCTCGCCGTTCCTGCAGGACCGACGCTTGCGCGACGCGCCCGCTCGACCGGGCCGGGGGCCCGCCCGCCCGACCCGCCCGTCAGGGCCCGCCTGGCCGACCCGCGCGTCTAGTTTTACCGTCTGTCTGTTTGCTCCTGCATGTAGCCTTAAGTTGGGCATGACCCTCTACAGGAGGAGTATTCAAAAACAGACAAAAGATAGCCTGGGAACGAGTTTCTGGTGTTTCTGATTTGGTTGAATGCTGAGATTCTGTTCCCCAATCAGAGCTTGCCTCTGTAGGGGTCCTAGCGGATTCATATGGTTAGGTGAGGTGCGGCGCCGATGTGGTGGCCGGCGGCTGGGTGCCTGGGTGCCCGGGGGTGCCCGGGGGCGCCCGGTGCCCCAGGATTTCGGCGGCCCGTGGCCGGGTGCCTGGGTGCCCGGGTGCCCGTGGGTGAGCCTGTTTTTCTTTAGATCCAGGCAAGCTTATTTGCATGGCGTTCGCCCCCCCCCCCCCCCCCCCCCTCTCCCCCCTCGCCCCTCTTCGATCGAACACGAGCGTGCAAGCGCCTTTCGACTTGCGTGATTCCCGCACGTCGAATTGTTTTCGGCTTGCTTCAAACTCAGCCCCCCTCCCCCGTCCATGCAAGTAAACTTGCCCGAGTCCAAAGAAAAACAGGCACGGTGGCCGGGTGCCCGAGTGCTCGGGGGTGCCCGGAGTTGCCCGGGGGTGTTCGGGCACCCTATAGCCATATAGCCTTACAGCTCTATAGCTCAATAGCCCATATACCCTTATAGCCCAATAGCCCTATAGTCCTATAGCCCTATAGCTCTATGACCCTATTGCCCTAGAGCCCTATAGCTTTATAGCTCAAGAGACGTATGGCCCTATAGCCTTATAGCTCTATAGCCCTAGAGCCCTATAGTCCCAATAGCCCTATAGCACTATACCCCTATAGCCATATAGCCCTTACAGCCCTGTAGCCCCATAGCCCTATAGGCCTATAGTCCTATAGCCCCATAGCCCCAACACAAATGTGATTGGGTTTTCTCTCCGGTATCATGTCATTCTTCTTCCAGAATCCGCCTGCAGGGGGCATTGCCCGGCCCAATTCTAGCCCCTTCTCTTGCGGATCTCTCGCGTCCTCCCTCCTCCTCCTCCTCATTCCCCTTTTCCCATTCCCTCCTCCCTCCCCCTGTTTTAGGGACTGCGCCAACTACACGTGGCAGGTGAGGAAGACTTTGCCGCTTGTTTTGTTGCTCTTAGCCCCCCCCGCCTACGGATCTCTCGCGTCATCCATCCTCTTTCCTGTTTCCCATTCCCTCATGCCTCCCTTCCCTTATGTTTAGGGCTGCGTCAACTGCGCGCGGCAGAGGATGATGGTTTCGCCGCGTGTTTTCTTGCTCCTAACCCCACCCCCCCTGCGGGCATGACGAAAGACGCAGTGAAAGAGATGATCCTGGACCTGTTGCCTGGCATCAAGCATTCCCACGGCCAGGGCGCGAAGCAGCACAGGCAAGGAGAGCGGGGAGGACGTATTGGAAGCGAAAG